CAACAACTAAGTTATCAGGGTTGTCTCCAGTAGTATGCAAGGATAAACCTGGGTTTCTTTTTAAGTACTCCCTCTTTAATGTTCATAATCTGTTCTCAAAAAGAGGGAAAAAAGGTGAAGAGGCACTCTAGAAAAAATGGTAAATCTACAGTAATTTATGCAAACTGGCCTACAGCAGGAGTGAGTGGACAGTGCAGCCTGCTGAGCAGGACTGCCCTTCTAGCTACTGATTCCAAACTTTTCTAGCAATTACATGCTAAAAAGCAGCTACCTAATGATCCGATTCTCAACACTCACCTCTTGGTCTTGCTTTCCCCTCGCCTTGGCTGTTGACATGGAAGACGTCCATAGCAGAGAGCAAAACTTTTGTCTGAAATCGTCTCTTCTGCTCCATAGTGGCATCCTCTGGAGCAGCCTATACAGTGATCATATACATATTAATACAGCATGAAAATAGTTAGGAAATCACACCCAAATTCACTTTTAGTCTTTATTCAATGGTCTTTGATTTCATTGGATCTTTGCAGATTATGTCTGTCAAGAATTCAGATTCACTAAAAGTTACGCTCAAAGGAGCAATTAGAAATTGCAAGAGACACTCAACACTATCTGAGGTAATTCAAAATACCTGATGTTTGGGACACTTGGACTATTGACAATTTGGAACTGAAGCCTAAATTTTTCATGTTCCCTGTTTTCAGACAATTGGCCCTATCCAGTGCTTTGAGTGGCTGAAATTCATAATCCAGACTCAGCTGCTACAGCCTGCATTAATCTGTGCTGAAAGTGGAGGCTGTTCTTTTTTGGTTTATTTGAGCACTGGAAAGAAATTATTGTCTCAAAAATCAGTACACAGGAATGCTCCATATGAAGTCTGTTCCCAAACTCAAGGACTACTCTAATGACAAGCATGTATTATGAAGCAAAAGGCAAATTTTTTCATGCTTTACTTCAATACTAAATGTTTCCCCCAAAATCCCATTGTTGCTTCTAGAGGCAGCGTTTTCTTAGTTCACATGAACGCAGAGCAGGCAGAAAAGGCCATTCCTCCCTGTTGAAAAGGCAGGAATTCTGTGCCACTAAGTAGGTTGTCCAGATCTGCCAGAATTTAGTGCATTCCCTCTAAGAGCTGTGATCCCAACCTTATCCTAGACTGTTGAAAATTCTGACTGAATACACCCCTTCAGCACCTTTAGCATTTTTTTCACCAGGACACTAGCAGGATACTTCCTGACCTTCCACCCCTAGTACAAGGTAGAGCAGCAAAGACTGATGACTACAAGAGAGACCTCGAGAAGCAGCTCAAATGGATGTCCTTGTTTGTTTGCTGGGATGTTGAGAAGGCTGTCCATCAGGAGGACTCGCACAAAATCCCACACTTGTTTCTTGGCAGGGTGTGGTAGCAATGGGAGAGACGAAGGATCAGTGCAGCCTTTCCCTTCAGCAATGGCTGGACCATCAGGAGTCAAAAAGCCTTCAGAACCTCCCTGTGGAAGCAGACAGCAATGCATTTTAACTCCATCTCCTTTAAATTTATTTTTCCTTCTAGCAACTCATCTCTGATCTGAAGGGCTTGTGTTGGTTCAGATGCGTATACCTTGAGTGGTCCAGAATTGAAAGCAACCATAGCCAAAGTTCTCAAGAAGTCAGAACAGTGCCACACAGGATCCTGAGTATAACTGTGATAGATCAAGCACAGAAACTGGATAATGTTCCCTGGATAGGCAATCTCCCAGGAGGCTTCTGCATCTGCGATAGGCTGAACACAGACAAATGTGCATCTTGTCAGGACAGCATTCCTCTCACTCATATAAATTCATCTTTGCTCCTCTCTAGGTATTCCTAAGCAAATAAGCAAACAGGACATGGGCACAGAGAAGTCAGGAAAAGCACAAGAAGCCAACTCCCAGATTGTAAATTGAAGATACACCCAATCAGAAAGGTGGCATATCCTCATTCCAAGAATGAACAAAATGGGTAATGCTATGGATAAAATCTGTGCCTGTGTTCAGAAGTTCTTAAACATGAGCCTATCACAAGATTTGCTATGTAACAGAACCAAGCCAATAGCTGTGCTGATGCTTTGAAGTCTCTTCTCATGGTTATGTTCAGTATTGCACTGGGAGGGCAGAGGAAGGCTAAGGGGTACAGGTGGAGACTACCACTGACATCTGACACTCTCAGGCAGTATATTTTGTCATTCACACTGCACTGTCCCTGCAAGCAAACACTTACCTTGTCCACAGTGACTCTAACCATTTCCAAAAGCAAAATGGCTGCCTCTGCACACAATCCTATTTTGAGGACATTCTCTCTAAGGTGGTTCTGCAAGATCCACTGCAACATAGACTCAAGATCTTTCTACAACAGAAGAGATTTTCAAGAGGTAAGGATTTGATACATTAAGAACAATGTCTGCTTTCTCCACATCAGGAAAAAACCAAACATCTTCACCACCAGCAGCTCCTCCCTCTCCTATTATGTTGCGTTACCCCAATGTAGCACTAATGGACTGTCCTCTTCTGAAATGTATCTTTGGCACTGCTGAGCCAAAAATGCCTTATGGTTTCTGAGGACAATGGAGGAAATAACCCAAATCCAAATTCTAAGATTCTAATGAGTCATGACAAGACTTTAAGAATAGACAAGGAGGATAATCCGAATTACCTTCTAAAGTAAAGTAGTTAAATAGCGTTTAACACCTTCATGAATATGTTTGCTCTGAACACAAATTTATTAAATTTTTTTATTAAGTTAACTTACCTGATTTTTAAAGTAGGAATGACTAATTTTAACTATCACAAAAACCAAGTAGGGTTAACTTGCCTGAGAATCCTTGCACAGGGAAGGCCACAAAATGCCAAAGTAGTAAAGCAATATGAGCTTCGTGCTTTTCCAGTATTTTTTTCATACCTTAGCTGCTTCAGGTGGTTCAGACTGTGGAGTTGCCAGAAAGAGCCCTGACACAAGCAAGTAGATCTCAGGGATGTGGACATGATCAGTCAGACATCTTTGCAACACAGAAAACCCAAAAATCAAGAAGGATCCATTGTCAGGCACTTCAGGATAAGTTTTTAAATTATCTTTAAAGGAAAAGGAAAGGAAAATATTCTGTGGAGCTGCCTAAAAATTAATTCCATATCATAGTTTACAAAACTTCCTCAGAACAACAATTTTTCCCACAATCACTTTTGTTACAGGAGAGTCCCTGAACTCTTTCTCTTTGTCTTCCCTTTTGCAGAACCACAGGTCTAGTTATCAAAAAGTAAGCTGAACAAATCTTAAAGAAACAGAAGTTTCCAGAACACAAGCTCACATCTGAACACTTCACAGGCTTATTAATTAGCCCGATATGCAAGACAAAAAGGCCCATCTCCCTGCACCTGCTAGCCAGAAATGCCAGCTGTTGTGCAAAGGAGAAGCAATGCGTTTTATTCTTCAGCACAGGAAAGCTGAAGTACTAGGACAAGCTTGCCCTAGAAGGTACTACCAGTTTTTGGTCTGCTGAGATCAGTGCAATTTTCCTATCATGTACTGCAGTGACCTCCCACCACTGAGCTGGACCATTAAATCAACACATACCCATTAGAATACTCAACCCTGCAGAGCTGTTTTCCAGCCAGCGCCCAGCCACTATCCCCTCCTTGAATTTGTTCAGCAGCGAACGATTGTAGAGAAAGCACAGAAGCAGCTTGATTCCTAGTACAACTGTACTAGAATGCAGGTAGCTCTGTGTGAACAACAGAAACCAGTCTGGTCCCAGTGCCAAAAAGGTCTCTTCTTGTTCCCTAGGACAAACAGGGAAATGAAAACGCATTAAAGATGACATAGCAGAACACAGGAAGGAGATTTTGTTTTAAGTTGTCTCTAAGTGATTTAGAAGCTCAAGTTTCTGTAGGATAAAATCTGATCAAAGACATACAGCAACACAGAATTACAAAGATTTAACAACAGATGCATCTGCACAGTTCAAGCCACTTAATTCCCATTAAATCCAACCTTATATTACTGACAGACAAAAATGCTCATTTACATGAAGCTCCTTCTAACACTGTGCATCAATAACAGGTAAACTGTATCACAGGTCTTTCAATCTAGGTCTATCAACCTATGAAATTAAAAATTCCTGTTTAAATTTTGAAGTCCAAGGTATGATAACTAATGAAAATGCAGTTACAGTTCTCAGTGCTGTGAACTCTGCTTTTCAGTGTTAAGACTATAGCAAATAAAAAAAAAAAAAAAGGGTTCCTCCTTTGAGGCGTTTTCTGAAAATATTAAACTTTTTTCACAATGGATATCAGATGAGTGATCTGATCACACATCTGTGTGAATGCCAGATAAAGCACTGACAAACATAACTCTGACCCAGTCTGCTCTTACTGTTTTCTTGAGACTTAAGTATTATCAGTGTGTTTAGTCCTGGTCAAGCACCAGCAAAGAGGAAAAGCAGAAGACAGAGACAATTACCTCTCCTTTCCTAAATTGTTTGTACTTACTCAGAGGACAGATGAAGTTTGTCTGACTGCATTACATCTAACAGCATCTTCAGTAACTGGTTTCGAAGCCAGATTGTCTTTCCAGATGTTTGGCTTATGGCTACAAATATCAGAAAGTAATAAAGAATAATGAAAAGACAAAACACATGTTCCATTGCTTTGATGAACAACCTTGTTTGCACCAGATTAGCCCAGTGGAAGTACTTATATATGTCTTTTGTAGAGTAAAAAGGTGCAGACTTCAGATTCTTAGATTTTTTAAGAAATGGCCAGTGCTTACAATCTCAAAGTCCTCTCTTCAGAGTTACTTTAAACTCATCCAGAATACACATTGAATAATAACCCACAGGAAGCAATCTCAGGTTAACTAGAGAGGGAAATGTAAACAGGCAATCTAACTTGCATTGCTTAGCTGTCATGTCTATATATAAAAATTACAGTTTTCAGTATCTCCTCAATATAATATATCATTTAGAAGTGCAATAACCAATATAGTCTTGACTAGAAAGGTCACAATAAAAGAGCCAGTTGACAAAGTTCCCACATAAAAAGTTGACATAAACACACAGATGTTTTAGAAGATGCAGAGCTCTACATTATTATTTGCTATAACAGTAAGTGTAGAAATACATTCACAGAAAATCCAGTATGACAAGTGAAATTTTATCCCTTGTAACAGCCCAGTATGTTATTTTTGGGGAAATTTCAATGTAATGCTCTTCACCTCTGTGTATATCTCTGAAGTCCAACAGTGTGTAGGCTCTGGGTAATGCACCTGTAGTACTGCTGGCTTATTAGCAGAGAGAGGAGAAAACCAGAATCCCTTAGCAGGAAGAGAATCTTGTAGTAGGTCAGGCCTTCCTGGAGATGTACACATTGACTGTCACTTTACTATTCTTCCTGTCGGGCCTTTGTAGCAATATAAGTCTTCCCCACAATTTGCCCCCTCAATGCAGCCTGTCCCTTTCAAAAGAAGCTGTTTGAATTGTCTCTTCCTGCCAGTGGAGGCAGATGCACTATGTTGTTGCATTTAGCTTTCATCTCACCCCAGGGATGAAAGGAAGTACTTCAGCTGCCTATCAGAATATACACACCAAAGGTAGCTCCTCACCTTCACTGGGCATCTCGGCCACATCATGCAGGCAGATCTGATTTTCATCCACAGAAGAAGGTTTCAAAGTGTAAACAAGGAATAATCCAATCCTTGCAGACAAAGAGGGAAGCCGTTTTGGTCAACAGAAAGACAGACAATCATTTAATTACTTTGAGATCACCTACAAATGTCAGTACTCATTAACAAAGACAGTTAATGACAACCTCTGGAAATTCTAATTGCTGCAGAAATAAGGTTGAAATAGAAATGCAAAAGTTCATTAACTAGGAAGAAAACAAAAAGATCTCTATCTACAAATACAAGTAGCATCTATTCTACTATGGAAACATTTTTCTTTTTATCTCTTGATTTTAGAAGTCTTTCACCATGAGGAAAGAGTTAAGCACTCTGTTCATACAAAAGATTCTGAACTGCCTGTGGCACTCAGGTATCACTGTTATCACCACTTGGGTTCCAAGATTTCCAAGCACATAGACAAAACCAGAGATGCCTCAGCAGAGAAAACTCAGGGAGGAGGACTGGCAACATCTTTTCACCTGTAGCTTGCTTTAACATTCTATCTGGTTCTAAGGACAGAGAGATTAATGTGACATTCACAGTGCAAGTGCATAATCTCCTCCTGCCCACAAGAAGGGCATTTCTTAAGGCATAGAACGCCACTTGTTTTGCAGAAATTGTCCACACAGCAATTTCTATTAGATGTGTCAAAAGTCTGGGACCACCAGAAACCCCAGCACCTTCTAGTGCTGCTGAGAGCCTGCTATAGTCTCTGCTCTCCTGGGGCTGGAAGGATAGGGGCTGTCTTTATCCACTTTCTCATTACTCATGGGCCTGAAAATCAGTAAATTACCACAGAATAACAAATGGTGGCACTTTAAGGAAAATGCTCATTCACACTCGTTATCACATGACAAATTTGATATACTAAATTCACTACTCATACCTGTTTGAAAATAAAAAAAAAAAAAGACTAACTCATACAAGTAATTGCACAAAACTGCCCTACAAGCAGTAAGTTCACATATTAGCTTTCTCCACAGTAATTACTTGAGGTGCTCATACTCTTCAACAGAGCTAAAAGCTGAATGCAAAGACCACAGGTTTGACATGCAACTCTGTTTCTATGTTTTATTTGGAGAAAGTGCTTTAAAACCAGAGCTGTCATTTGTGTACTGTATTTCCCTGGAGTGAGGTGGCTGTAGACAGCACTGTGTGGATCTTCCTCTGTCCATAGTCTATAGACTGATGCAGCTAGGCTGGGAATATAAAATGGAGCAGTGGTTACATTCTGTGGAAAACAAACAAAGTTTTAAACTCTTTGTTTCACTAAATCCTGACTAACATATCTTAACTGATTGAAATTGAAGAACCAGAAGGATAGTTTCTGAGCTATAAGCCAAACCAACAGGATTAAGTACATAGCTGCCTGGGACCAAGCTCCAGCCATAGCAACTGAAATACTTTAAGGCTAGGCTTTAATGAAACTGAATATTAAGTACAGACTTTGAGTAGTCTCAGTCATACTAGCAGAGCTGTTTGTGCCATCATTGTAAGGGTCATCATCCAATCCATCTTCACACAAATATAAGGTTGGACTGAACTGTGTTTTGAAGGCATGAAAGTTTTTCGTCAATGGGGATCCTGCAGTTGTCAAAAGATCTGAGGGCTCCTACCAAAGATGAGGTGAGGGAAGTTCTACTATAGAGCTCTCTCCAGTACTAGAAGGAGTATAGCTCATCTGCAAACTGAGAAAAAGCTATAGAGTCGAAGGTTACCTGAGAATATCCCTTGTGTTAAAGTATCCTTGCAACAGATGGGAGAGAATTGTGCAGGCCACAGTGATCCTGGAGTTATCAATTTCAGGATCATTAAAGAGGAAAATCAGCTTGGGCACCATTTGCACCTGGTAGGCAATTGCAGCATTCTGACATCTATCTCTGTAGAAAAGCACAGGGACTATTAAAAGCTTTTACTGGAAAGAACCAAATTTTCTGGGTTTCAGCTAAGAGGATTCTCAGGTTACACTAACACTTTGCACCTTTGGCTTCTAATGTTGCCTTGGCAACATTTCAAACACTGTCAGAGGAATCGAATATGTGCCTATGATGAGGATTTGAAGACTTTGTGTGTTCTCTACTCTTCCCATCTGCCCCCTCCCCTGGAAACTGCCGTATTTCAATGAGTTCAAAGAAAACTATTGAATTTTCAAGCAGTTAGTGTGTGGTAATAAATGCTATTCCTGTAAAACTCAGCTAAGGGACACCATACAGCTCTGTATAGAGCTTTCTGGTACCAGAAAGTACCAGTAGTCCTGCTCTACTCAGCTCCTCTGCCATGCTACATCTCTTCAGATACCTTTAATTTTAGTACAGTTGACTAATGAAGTATACCAGTATAAAAAAAGTCTTCCTGGGTTGTGTTTTAGTTTTAAACATAACTTCAAGTATATATTTTTAAAATTGTTTCCCATTCAATACAAACATATTTCCCCTCCTCAGCAGACATTTAAAATTTCATTGTACAGCAGTGGTTCCATGTAAACCTCATCATTAGATAGCTTTTCCCTGTCTGGCCCCACAGCCATCTCAGGGGCTGATCTAAGCACTAACTCCAACCTTGAGAGAGCAATGTAGGAATGATTCACTCCCAGAGTCCACTGATTCTGACTAGGATTGGACCTTTCATATCCATCTCACAGTTCCAGCTTCAGGTTACTGATGAGCTTACCCCATATTTCTGATTCAAACACTAGCTTGAGTACCTGGAGGACTGCAAGATCTCCACAAGATGTGAAAAAAGAGCAAGGTCAAGATTTTCTGGTGCTTTCATCCAAAGCTGAAAGACAAAGGAAAACAAAGGTTTTAGTGCTCTGCTAAGCTTAGAGAATAGTAACCCGTGGCAGAGAAACAGCTACAATTAGTTCAGGGACAAAACCATCAAACTCTCAGTTGTTTCTACAATGACAGCCTTCAGGCACTGGAATATTCCTGCCAATGTGAGAAGCTGCTGCTCCTGAGCAGAAACAGTCCAGAAGCTGCATTGGACGTGGTGGGGAGACATGGCAATGGAGGGCCTGTCATTCCAGGAGCTACCACCTTCCCAGGTGAGCCACAGTGTGGAAAATCACCACACATCATCCCATTCCAAATACTGGATCTAGGAGATGCTATGAACAAACCAAGCCTCCTACTATAAAGCCGTCTTTAGGCCAGCCAAACCCACAAAGTGATATCAACAATTTTACCTCGAAGTTGCAGAGAACATACTGAAATGCACTGTGATTTTTGATGACTGAAGACTCAAAGCCAAGCTCAGCCGTGCCCACTAGGGAGAAAATTAACTGTAGAATCCTGTTGTTTAACAGCTGCGTCTTCCTCTTTAATAGATAGGTCAGTAACTGAAAAAAAAAAGACTTTGTAAGTATCTGCTGAGTATAAATCTGTATTTTTAAACTGACATATAGCAGTTTTTTAATTCAAGACAAATGCACATTTTGCTTGGCTGTAGTAGTCAGACATGCACACATCTTACAGAAGCATCATTAAAAGAAAAAATTACACTAAGCAGTCTGTAAAGATGTATCTTAGGCTGGATGAGCAAATGAGAGGGGAAGGTGGGGGGGGGAAGCAGACCTGCCCAAGAAGTGGTCTCTTATAGGAGGGATCACATGTTTGTAAAAGGTGGATTCGTCAGTCACTACTGCACTATCTTATTTATTTTTATTAGATCATGTCTGACCAAGAGGTATCTGTCCTCACCTTCCCACCAGCAGATACACTGTTAGAGAGTTTCCCAGAGATTGAGAGCACATGATTTGGATCACTACCCTATATGGCCCTTTCAGAAATCTCAGAATTTACAGCCATAAGTGCTAATATCTAGGATATATTTGGTCCACTTTGATTAAGGTTCTCCAAGGGAAAGACTATTACCAGAAAGAATGAACAAGAGTGTTTACCTGGTATCCATGCATGTGCCTCATCAATTTTTCACTCATTGGACTACTGTTCAGGATGCAGTTCAGGACTTTGACAGCTGCATACATGGTGTGGTCATCACAGGCCATTGCAATGAGACCCAGGAGAATGGCAGGACCTCCAATGAAGTTCAGGCTAGTAGCTGCTGGAGAGGACTGGAACGCTCTTACCCCTAGGAAATTTCAGGATTAGTCTACTAGGAAGTTACATGGACTAAGTCTGTTATTTGACAGAGAAAGGCCCAACCCTTAAAAAATATGAAACTGTAAGGCATAGTGCATTTACCATATTGGCCCACAGCAACTGACCCAATAGTCCGCAAGGAACCCGGGAGGTGTCCAGCGATATTCTTGGCTAGGAATATTGGAGTTGTACTGTCCCTAGAGTTAATCCCAATCTAAAACATATAAGAAAATCTTAAAAAAAATCATAGTAGTTTTGGGGAAACAAAAATAACAAGTAGATGCTCTAATTCTTTAGATTATTTTACTACTTTTAGACTGAGAACCATTTTTTTTTCCTTTCAAAGTTGATTGCTAGGACAAACATTCACCCATCTAAAATATCCCACAGCCCCATTACTTTGACATTGGCAAAAATAGGCCCATTTGGCATTGACAAGAATACTAAAAAAACATCTGAAATGTCATTGTGAAAGCATTAAGAAATCACAGACTGAAATTAATTATCATTAGACCTGAAAACTATGGCTTCTGTGGTGTTTCAAGAAAGTCTTTTAACATTGTGTTCACACTGTCTAATCTACTGAAAGGAAAAAATACATCAGTGCAGGTATGCAACTAAGACAACGTCACAAACTTTGTTCTAGGAAACCCATCAGAAACAAGAGAAAACGTGTGTGAGACTAATGAGGGGAATTTGTGACCTCTTTGGCAATCAGGCGGCCATCCACTTCATTGTAGGAGCTCTTTATGTCTTGGACTGTAGTGAGAGATGAGCACACAGCGTTGATTCCAAAAGAAATCTTCTCTTCTGACACCAGAGGTGTAGGATTATGATCACTGTACTGGTCCTCACCTAAAGCAAGAGAGACTATAAACCTCTGAAGGAACTCTGCATGCTCAGAATGTGAGACAGGAGGGGGACAGATGAAAAATAACTGGAGGAAACCAAAGTTTAGACAGGAATTTGATCAGGACTTCACTATAAACCTAAAAAAAGCACTCTCCCTTTACAACACAGCCCGTGTAGCTTGCTAATGTAAACATCAACAGGGGATTTGTCTCCTCTGGTTACTGCTTTATATAGATCTTATGTCCTCTCCCAGTACCTCATGAAGCTCAGGAAAGACCAGAATAAACCTTTCTCTGTCCACACAATATGAAACAAACTTTCTGGATAGAGAAAACATTTCAGTGGCCTTCAATGCTACTGAGAGCTTTATCAGGGGTACTAGGAGCAAGGATTCACATGAAAGAAAAGAGACAGAGGCAAAAGGTAAGAGCTTCCAACTCACAGCACATGGAAAGCTTCTTAGAAATACCAGGTTCACCGTTTTAATAGTTGTATTAAATTCTCACATACTTTTCTTTAAAGATTTTTCTATTCCTACTTGCACTTGGAAAAACTTTTCTTTTTTTTTTTAAATATTAGGTTTTTTTGACAATTTTATAGTCTGGGAAACAGTTGCTTTATGAAACTGTTGACTAATGCTGGTTACACAGCCCTTACAGGCAAAAAGAATTACCACATATTCTGCATGAAGATTAAAAATAAGTGCCCCAAGATCATGTCACGGATTTCCTTTCCAGTAGGACATGGACTAGAGGCAATATGGTGGGAAGAGAGAGAGGTCATTTCACAATTATGAGATCAGATCTTGTATGGAACTGATAGTCCATAGTCTATGGACTATGGTCTGGAGTCAGACAGCCACAATCTCTGATGAGTACTAGAGTTCTCTGCAGGCTGATCTTCCCAGCTTGATGAGTAATCCAGACTTCATAGAGACTCAGGACTTAAAAAATCAAATCATTCTGATTTCTACTAGTAATATTTTTATCTTGGGGCTGCATTTTGATATGATTTCTCCTTCAACAATCCCTTTTCATGCTTGACTTGGAAATATTTATTTTTTTTTTTGTCTAGATAGGGTTCTGAAGGAGTACTTTCAGCCAGTTGCTTCACTTTGCTTTGGGCTAGAGCACCACCAGGTGAGATTATTCTGTTCTTTTAAAATGTGAATGACCACCCCATTTCATGCTGTGCTCTAGTACATAGGTGAATGCACTACTAGTTGAACAAACAGTAATCAATAAGTGAAGTGTTTTGTCTGCCTGTTTTATAATTGAAGATAACTATAATTTAGTTAAAAAGCCTCTTCATTAAATGGAATGTAACTTATTCCCCTACTCTTCTCTCCCCCGTGCTCTCTTCCTACTCTGCAGGCATTTGCAATTAAAAATGATGCTTCTGTATCTGCTGTGTTTTTTTTCTGTAGCACCATAAATGCAGAATGTCTCAGTTAAAGCTACTGCTTTAAAGTTTGTCCAACAGAAATTGCAGTCTTGCATCCCCTCAAGGATATCTTATCCCTCTTTCCTCTCCATCTTTCCCTGCTGCTTGATTCCTACCCTTCTTTTTCTGCCCAATTTACACTATGCTACAAGACCCTTATGATACAGTCTTGTACAAAGGTCAGTAACACAGAGTTCCAGGCTTTTAGAGTGAGCTCTAGGCACAGATACTAACAGCAGATTACAAGAATAAAAAAAGCATTTCCCTGACAAACAAATAGTGGTGGATACAAGAATTATCACATACCTTGAAGCCGTACTGCTTGGAAATTGCAACAGTACTGTGGGCCAAGCTTATTAATGATCTCTATGGTTTCCACAGAGATGGCTTCTTCAAACAAGTATGTAGGTCCAAGGCGCCAGGTCAAGGAGGACCTTTGTTTCCAAATTCGAGGAGTAGCTATATACCCATAGACATCAATAAAGGAAGAGGGTTCCATGGAAATACAGCTACCTGGTAAGGGCTGGAGATACTGCATCTGCAACAGAGGAAGAATCCACTGAGGGGACAGAATACACTTCAGATATATTAAGGTCTTGTCTCTGGAAGGTGCTGCCTGCTGCCTCTTTCCTCAATGAAGTCTCAGTCAGCTGTGCAACACAATTATCAACTGCTGCTTTAAAAATGGACTTTCAGAAGTATCACAAACATAAGCATTTTTCAAAGTTTAAACCTACGTTTTGTTCAAAAAGCAAAATCATTTCAAGTGTTGGCAAAGAAAAACTCTATCTTGCTTCCTGACTTATTTTTCCTGTTCTAAACTGTGGCTTTCAATGCAGAAAGCCAAGTTACAGATCACACCTTGTACTAGACACACAGAAAATAAACAGTTCTTGAAGAGTGCAGAATGTCCAAGTGGATCAGCTAGCTTCAGCAAAAATGACATCGTTTAGGAAATGGGACCATTTATTTTTGGTATAAAACTAAGGATTCAGTCTCCTAAATTGAGTCTATTATTTTATGTAAACATGGACAGCTATAATAGAAAGTAGTCAGATATTTTTTGGTAGAAAGAAACTATATTGTACTTTAGGGCTCAGCCTTGCCTTTAACAGTTTCCTGTCAGGATGGGAGAGTCCTGGAATTCACTGATTTCTGACTCCTGTGATGTAGAAGACAAGGCTAGTCAGCTTTAGGAGGCAGGACTCAATACTCGAGTGAACAAATACTGGGTTTAATACAACACAGTAATGTGTCCACTACCCCCCAGCTCCATCACCCTAAAATATCTTTTGGTATTGCTAACAACCTTTGAGCAATTCTAATTTCTTACACAATCTTTTCTTTACTGTACATATAAAGATGAAGGCTTGCATTGTGTCAGAGACCCCAGCACTGGGACAATCTTTTCTTTACTAAAGGCTTGTTTTATTTATTATCAGCTGTTTCACTGTATGTTAAACACATTTGCTGTGAATTTTTTAATCAGTTGCAATGCTTAGGCCTAGTTTTATTGATGACTTTCAGTCTCATCTGAAGGAAGGCAAATTAAATTAACTTTTCATTCTTGAAATGGATATAGGTCCCAAAAGGCATTTAGAAGACAGATCATTTTTCTCAAGTATGGGAAAGAGAATATTTGGAATTAAACAGGTTGCTTTTACAAAGGAAACATAAAACACACAAGTGAGCTTTGCATGTGTTGGGATTGATTTGCAACACATGAACAGGAAAGAAGAGACCAAAGTTATATGTTTCAATTAATAAGAGGAATCCATTCAGAAACAAAACAACAACAATGAAAACAACCGACCGACCAAACCAAACCAAACCAAACCAGAGCTGCAAAAGAAACAAGCTACATTTTCAACACTGCCAGGCTGGGGCATTCAAAATCCAAAAATCAAATCTCAGGAATAATCTGACATTATGATGATAATGATAATATAAACCAGAGGCTCTTTTCACTTATCCTGCAGATTATGAACTCTTCGGGTGTGTTTGGATTGCTTTCTTGTGATATCTCATGCAACCTGGGGAAATTACCTTTTGAGAACTGACTCCTACGCAACAAGGTCACAAGAAACGGCATGTTAGGGGAAACACTAGCTACACCAATATTTGCAATGACTTATTGAGTTATCATTGAAATTTATAAATATCTCCCAACTGAAACCTTTCTTTAATTTCCATTAACTAAAAAAAAAGGTATTATTTTAATTCAGAAGCTATCTCACACACTGAACAACAGATCCGTAGGAGCATCTATTTGTTCCTGAGTGCTTAGAGTGCTAGTGGGAAGAAAGGCCACTGATTCATCAGCTGACTGTTCAGTGGGTGTAACAGGAACAGGACAACTTGAAACATGCCCAAGCAAGATTCTTGAAGAAATTCAATCCATCTTAGCATTCTTGCAAAGAGCTGGCCAGTCACAGAACCTTATTTTTCTGCAATTTTTCTGCTTTTCCAGGCCTTTCTTCAAAAACAGAGACTCCTTAAATAACTCATCACCTTTGCAGGTTCTAGCCTGAATCTAAATCACCTTCAGTTTAGGGTTCTCTAGTCACACCTTAATGTGATGACTATTTATAACTGACAACTTCTGAAGATCTTGGGTGTATACTGAAAGATCCTCAAAATCACTAGTCAATTCAGAAAATGTTGGGCTAAGGGTACAATGGAATTTCACCACCATAATCCTGAGCTACCTGCAAACTTGATAACCACAACCTTCATATGGGTATCACTGCTCAAAATTGGCCCTGGTTATCTGCATGCTGAAGGGGTAACTAGTTCAAATCAGTATAAGCTGATAATATACTTCTAAAAAGCATCACACCTACACCCTGGTTTGTATGGATTTCTGACTCTCCTCACACACAGCACAGAGTGTCAGAGGGTATACATGCAAATCACCATGCTTTGAGCCTCTCCAGTCAATGCTAAGAAGTCATGATATGTGCAAGGGGAGATGAAAATAGAAAGCAATGACAGGTATGAGATCTATGCAGAGAGCCTTTACCTTTGCAGAGCCAAGCATCTGACCATTAATATAAGCTGACACAATGCAGTTCCTCTTTGCTTCCTTAGCAACTGTAACTGTGAGATGATGCCACTGGCCAGTGACCAGCAACTTGCCACAGCCAAACTGAGCTTGCCGTGGAAATGGGGAAGGATTTAGTACCTCTTCCTCAGGTTCCATAATATCTGTAACAGCAAAACCAGAAATAGTGAACAGAAAGTATCTTTCACTTTCTTCTGCTTCTGGAACACAACTATCAAATGTGACACAAAGAACATGACTCTCTGTGGATATAGAGTGATTTGGTGCTGTTCCATTCAATGTCTGAAATGTTCCCTGAAGGTCTACTATCAGGATCTGAGACTCACACAACTCTCAAGTTCCCTCCAGTGTACAATGTGCCATACTCCCATGTACCTACTGACTTGCTTCAATGCTGTAAAACTAGACTGAACTAGGACAGAACTAACCTATCTATAAGAGGAGCATTCCTCAGCATATTCACTGAGTTAGCTGACACAGGAAAAAAAAAGTCCTAGCAAATTCATATTTCATGTATCAGATGATAGAACTCTGTAGATTAATTTGTAGCTTTTATGAAAAGAGACAAGCTGGGATTTTTAGCATCATCTAAGGGAATCAGAGTATTCACAGAGTATGTCAGCCATGCATGAAAATCCCAGCTACTATTCCCACTCTACTCCCAACCTCTTCTGCTGTGTTCAGTCACATTCACATCTGAACTACCTACTCTACTCAATAAGGAAAAAGGGATAAATGTCAACAATGAAAAAAAATTAACAGGCTGTCATATGAATATTACAAAAGTGAGGAGAGGAAGTGAGCTGTTTGATTAGGAAGCTACACCACACCCAAACTCCACAGTCCTACTCTCCAAACTTGCCTACTGTCACACAGAACAGGCAGAGATCAGTTCCCTCAGCTGCACACAACCATGTAACTGACATTCAGAAGTTTTCCTTAGACTATCTATAAATTTTATCATATATTGTGGCCACAAAAATAATTATCTATGCTTACAGACATCTTAGAACTGAAATATGACCTGGAATTACTATCATAGGCTGCCAGGAGAAGACTGAAGAGATTAAAGAGCCTCATTAATGTCCTGGGTACTTCTAAGAAGAGGAAATCTTTTAATGAAAAATTCCAGGGAATCAGAGGACACAGCACTGCAGCTTGACTGAGAAGAGTCTTACCAAGTGGCTGGAATTCCACCTCTTCTGTGGAAATGACCAGCGAACAGTCCTGCGGAAAGAAGCTTACTGAAAAGCAAACAAATTCTTGCTCTGTTCTTGACATGTGCCTCACAACTGTGAAGAAACGGAGTGGGTGACTGTGGTGCACCAAACCAAACTTCCTAACCAGGAACCAGCAGGAAAGTGTCAAGCCACTTGAGGGAGGGAACATTCTTGTACCTGTAGAAAAGAAAGAAAAAAACAGTAAGAAAGTTCATTTCCCTGTGCCAACATTAGCAAACTACTTTCTGTTTCATTTGTAGCCCACACTATGTAAGAACCAACATTAGAATATGAGGTTTATACTGTACTTTGGTAAGCAGCTTGGGTCACACAGCTCAGAGCTGGACTGGCACACAGAGACAGAAGTGTATTGAAATATACAGCTTATTTTCTGCCATTTCTTACGAATGCTGAATGCTTTCAGTAAGGCTGAAAAGTTAGTCCTCTCAGGAAGCTGTAGACGTGTCAAAGTGCTTACCTGTGCCAATTCCTCCCGAGACAGATTGCTCTGCGCTGGGTCCCATGACAGTGGCCAAGGTAGGGAGGTATAAACACCTACAAAAGCAAGCAAGCACCCGTTCAGAAGAAACGTAAAATCACTCCTGAAAGTCACCAGTGACTTAATACTGCAGAATTATGGTAGCAGAGCAGAGCCTAGACTATCAGCAATAAGCCAATAACAAAATAGGTAGGCAACATTGCTGCCAGGAAGGCAGCAACAGGGCACCAGGATTGACTAGGATGGAGAGAGAAGGTATTAGTTGCTGTGTCCAGAAAAAAGGCTTGGGCACTGCAGAGCAGCTGAAGAGAAAAGCAACAGCAGCAATACCCGTATCCTTCCTTTGACATGTCAAACTCCACAAACGATGGAGCCAAAGAAGTGCTGCGGAGCTGGAAGTTTCGAGGTGACGTCATGGAGATAAGACTCATTGCAGTCTGGAGTGCCAATGCAGATCCCTTAGACACCAAAGAGGAGTTGCTGACAGGCACAGCTGTCTGAGGATTAGTTTTACTCTCCACCATGGCCTCTTCTGAACCTACAACATCAACACAGTGCCTAAACAGATGAATGTCTTCAATACTTTTTCCAGTCGCAGGCTTTGCCTGTATTTAGTTCATCACTACTCCAAACAGTGCTCCATGCTCTTCAAATAACACATCCTCAGCAGCCTGCAGAAATCCGCAGCAATGCACAAAAATATTATAGTGAAGGAATTTGAAAATGGAAGGCTGGCAGGAGAGATGAGCAGATACGATATTTTCTTTTCATACATCTCTAGACAGCTCCAAACTTCATCTCCAGTAAAAAAGATTCCTTACCCATTGGTTCCATTTTTCTTATAAACAGGCCATTCAATTCTGCCATAACAGAATAGTTACAACCAACATGTGTGAGAGGATCTGAAGAATGACTACAAAGAACCTAAGACTCCAACTTTTACCATGCTGTACCAAGTGTCCCATAGGCATGTGAACAGGTTAAGCACCAAATACCAGCTGTCTTGAGCCCCTTTACCT